CTCTCTCTCTCTCTCTCTCTCTCTCTCACACACACACACACACACACACACACACACACACACATGCACTCAAGAGAATTTAATTTTACTAGAGGTAGTCACCCAATATAGTAGATAGATGAGTAAAATAAGAGGGTTAAAAATGGTGAAATGCAAATGAAATATACTGGAAGGGGAAATAACATAAGGAGAATTGTATCGATTTGAAATTGCTATTAGAAAAAACAGGAAGTTCCTGTTTGCACTGTACTGTGAAAACATAGTGTACGTCTAAGTTTGTGTGTGTGCGTGTGTGTATTTTGTATGTTTGTAAATAGGTATATAATTTAACTTATAATTTCATTGTATTCATTTAACCTATAATTTAATTTGTAATTTGGGTAATTTCTCACTTGCGTATGAGCAATTAAAAAAAGGAAAGAAAAAGAAATGAACACACAGAACCCAACCACGGAAAACCACAGGCCGATGTTTATGTTCATATGCATTTAAAAATACCTGTTTCCCTGAAAATAAGATAATACGACTAATTGGGCTTTTGAGCGCATGCGTGGCCAATTTTTTGTTCACTTTCAGCTATTTTTTTAGCTTTTTAAAGCATTTTTCTTCTGCCGGTTAGTCCGAACCAGTAGGGAAAAAATGCTTTAAAAGGGGGGGGGGAGCTTTTGATGATCACGCGGCTCAGCTGTGAACTGTGCAATCGTTGGAAGCTTTATAAAAAGATTTTTAAAGCATTTTTTTTCCCTGCCTGTTTCCCCGAAAAAATGCTTTAAAAAGCGGGGAGAAAGCTTCCGACGATAGCGCGGCTCATAGCTGAGCCACGCGATCCTCGGAAGCTTTTTTTTAACATTACCGCTTCACAGAACCAAGGAATGTGGTCCCTACAGGTTAGGCCAAACAAGGCTGAACTGGAAGAAGAGAAGCAACCAAGAATTAAGGACAAATTTCCTAACAGTGAGAACAATTAATCTCTGGAATGGCTTGTCTTCAGAAGTTATGGGTGCGGCATCACCAGAGGCATTTATGAAGAGATTGGACAATTTTTGATCTTTGGCTCCTCTCTTGCCGTCCTTCCCAGTCTTTCTCTGCTCCATCTGTGCAATCACCTTTGCCAGAATGTGTCCGAAAAATATACTTATTATTCTTTCTCTCCAGAAGTAGACTTCAACTTCAAATAATGCAATTTACAGCTGATGAAAGAAATGTCCTTCTCGGTTCGGCTCCAAGTGGGGGAAAAAACACTGGAGACATGGAGGCTGCTTGGAAAGATGGTTTAATGGTGGACAGGACCACATGGCTTGAGCTCCTNCAATATAGCAGATAGATGAGTAAAATAAGAGGGTTAAAAATGGTGAAATGCAAATGAAATATACTAGAAGGGGAAATAACGTAAGGAGAATTGTATCGATTGGTAATTGCTATTAGAAAGAACTGGAAGTTCCTGTTTGTACTGTATTGTGTAAATGTAGCGTACATCTAAGTTTTGTATGGGTGTATTTTGTATGTTTGTAAATAAATAAAAATATTTAAAATAAAAAAAAAAACCTAAATATCTTACCAATAAACAGAAAAAAGAGCTAGAGGGAAAAATAGATATGCAGATAACCAAGAAAGTCAAATACTTGGGAATCTGGCTGATGGAAAATGCTCATCGATTAAAGAGGACAATTACAATAAGATACTCCAGCAAATAAAAATGGACTTAGACAATGGGGAAAAAACTACAACTCTCATTAACCGGAAGAATAGCCACAATTAAAATGAATATATTACCAAAACTACTAATATACCCAAATGTGTTGGACTTAGACAAAATAGCAAGATATAAAGATATATTATATGACCAAGGAAAATTAAAATTGATGCAAGAATTAAAAAAACAGGAAATTGACATAGCTTGGTGGCCTTACATGCAAATCCAGTCAAGATACAAAAAAGATGCAGAAAACTATGGTTTCTATAGGGAACAACAAGAGCTGGATAAAATATTACAGGGGACAGAGGAAAAAATGATAACAAAACTATTTATTGAGATTCAAAATGGAAGAAGAAATGATAAAAGAAACCAAGATAACCTGGGCAAAAAATTTCGGCTATACCATAGAATTAGAGAATTGGGAAAATTTGTGAGGGGAAAATTATAAATTAATAAAGAAAATTTATATTAAATGTTTTACCATTGGCATTTACCCCCAGCAAGATTAGCAAAAATGTTTCCAAATAGATCAGGGGAATGTTGGAAATGTAAAAACAGAAGCAGGGAACATATTACCACATGTGGTGGACATGCCCAGAAATAAAGAGATATTGGACAAGAATAAGAAAGTGGCTAGAGGAAATAATCAAACAACAAATAGAGTTAAAACTGGAGCTATTTTTGCTAGGCATATTAACAGGAAATTATAATTTAAAAAACCCAATACACATAATAACAGCGGCCAGAATTGTTTAGAATTGTATATAAAAAGGGAAGAAAAACAAAAAACAACATGTACATACATATGAGGTATACTGATACTGAAGTGTTGTAAAGGTGAAAATTGTGATATAAAATGAAGAAAATTGCTCAATAAAAATTAATTTTAAAAAAACCTGCCTCGCTTAGCAGTGGAATTTCTGGTCCCCATTTAGGTTATAAGTCGAGGACTACTTGTACTTATTTGGCTTACATTTGCTGTAAAAAGTAAAGAAATTCTAAAGACTACAAGCAGTTTATACAGTAAGAACATTAAATTAAATTGTGGAGAATCAGTAAGATAACAAAGATGTTAATTACATTTTGGGCAGTTGTATCTCTAAGCATTTCCAAATGCTCTTGGAAATATTACCTTTTCAGAGGTTTCCAAATATAAAAGACAGTCTAAAGTTTTTGAGGTACACTCTTCCAGCAGGAAGGAGCTCATCAGTCAGAACACTTAATTAAGCATGGTGTCCCTTTATTGCTATGGAAAAACCTTGACATTATTTTGATGTTAGCTAGTGTGGTGGTGTACATGTAGTCCATGACGTATGACCACAATTGAGCCCAAAATTTCAGGTGCTAAGTGAGAGTTGTTAAGTGAGCTTTACTCCATTTTATGACCTTTCTTGCCACAGTTGTTAAATGAATTACTGCAGTTGTTAAGTTATAACATGGTTAAATGAATCTGGTTTCCTCATTGATATTTTTCTGCCAAGAAAGTTCGCAAAAGGGGATCATACAACCCCAGGACACTGCAACTGTCATAAATATGAGCAACTTGCCAAGCATCTGAATTTTGATCACATGACCATGGGAATGCCGCAACAGTAGTAAATACCTGTATTTGCTAAATTAGTATATAACGTTAAAAATGTCACAGATATGAAAATCTATTATCAATCAACCAATTTGACATGCCATGTATCTGGAAGACTGTGCTTCTGTTTGTGTCACAGCCTTTTTTTAATTCATTCCTCTTTTGAAATGAAACAAAACAAAACCATCAGCTCTGACATGCTCCTGTTTTGTATTGTAGGGCAAGAGCAAAAATGTCCAGAAATCCGACTTTGTCAAAGGCCCCGTCTTCAAAGAAGTGGCCTCAAGCCGTTTCTTACCCAAAGGCACCTGGACAAAAGTGAATCTGGAGGAACATGGGAGGCAGAAAGTGTCCTTCAGCTTCAGCCTCACAAAGAAAATGTTGCCAAACCAGTTTTTGGCTACCCTAGGAAATGAGAAGCCAAGCGAAACCCCAAGCAAGTCACCTGCTGAGTGACTTTGCTTCTAACAAGCTCATCTTATTCTAGATCTGAGCGGTCCCATTACTACGATTCTGACTGGAGATACCACAGGAACTCACCATATAGAGAGACGACATGGTATTCCCGTTCTTACATGGACATCTGGGTGAGAGAAAGTTCTGATTCAGAAGAAGAGTATTGGAGGATCCATTCTAAATTGTCTACAGATTCATAGCAATAGCAATAGCAGTAGACTTATATACCGCTTCATAGGCCTTTCAGGCCTCTCTAAGCGGTTTACAGAGAGNACATACATACATACATACATACATACACACACACACACACACACACACTCAAAAGTTTAAATTTATTAGAGGTAATCACCCAATATAGCATATAGATGAATAAAATAAGAGGGTTAAAAATGGTGAAACTCAAATGAAATGTATTAGAAGGGGAAATAACATAAGGAGAATTGTATTGATTTGAAATTGCTATTAGAAAGAACAGGAAGTTCCTGTTTGTACTGTATTGTGTAAATGTAGTGTATGTCCAAGTTATCTGTGTGTGTGTGTTTTGTGTGTTTGTAAATAAAAGAAAAAAGAAAAAAAAGAGAAATAAAGGCTGAGCATCTTGGTACATAGACCAACATCTAAGCACAATTTAACCTAGGCATTGGATGCTAAGTTTCCTTAGATCTGCTATGCTATGCAGTCTGATAACCCTTTATAGTAAAAATAAAAAGTAAAATTAAAAAGTAAAAGTAAAATAAAAAGTAAAAGTAAAATAAAAAGTAAAAGTAAAATAAAAAGTAAAAGTAAAATAAAAAATAAAAAGTAAAATAAAAAATAAAAAGTAAAATAAAAAATAAAAAGTTATTGAGCAAAACATCATTACTCTCAATGTTTTATCAAATAAAGTCTGTTTCTCTGACAACATCACTGCCGTTTGTAACCACGCCAGGTCATAAATCATGATTTACAAGCGGCCAAGCACATCCCCACACAAGCGCCAGGCGGGGCTTAACACTGATAAGACACCTCTTCAATTCGGGGCGGGGCTGTGGCCTCCAGGCGATTTTCCCGTCAGAGAAGAACTACAAGGACCATCAGGCCTTGGGCGCGAGGGCTCGCGGCGTCGCCTCCGTTGCTAGGCTCTCCTAACGGTCCTTTTCCTTTTCCAGCCAAATGCCGCCGCCGCTCTCTCCAGCTCGGGTGTTCGCTGAGTTGGTGTCCCCGCCCGTCGCCTCCGGCACGGCAGACGACGAGCCTCCCAGAGCCGCCGAAGGAGGGCCGTTTGGGAGGGAGGTTCACGTGAGCGGCAGCGCGGAACTCAGCGCCGGACCCGATCGGGCCAAAGTCACGGTTTATTTGAGAAGCAGGAAAGGGGAAGCCGGCGCAGCGCGGGGCAGCGTCACTCGCAGACTCGACTACGTCGCTCAGACGGTTCGGCAGCGCGGAGGCATCTCGGTGGGTCAGATTTTTTTTAAAAAAAGCCCCTCGCCCGCGCAGCCGCAGTGGGTCTCCTGCCCTTTGCGAGCGTGCTCAATTCTTTGGTCGCTTTGGCACAGAGGTCTTCAAACTTGGCCACTTTTAAGACTTGTGGACTTCAACTCCCAGAATTCTCCAGCCAGAATTCTGGGAGTTGAAGTCCTCAAGTCTTAAAAGTGGCCAAGTTTGGGGAGCCCTGCAAATAGCACTTAGACTTATATATCGCTTCGCGGTGCTTTTTACAGCCCTCTCTGGGCAGTTTACAGAGTCAGCATAATTGCCCCCAACAATCAATTTAGTCCCTCTGTCCCTTTGACAGAGAAGCTGCGTCTTAGCCAGGGAGTCTGGTTAAGTATGTTTTGGAGAATTTTGGTGCCGCCATCCACTAAAAGCCATCCTCTGTGCTTCATGCCCACCTGTGCTTTTTTCTTGAGGCAGCTAAACTTTCTGGATTTTTTTTTTCTTTGAGGACATTTCCCTTCTCATCCAAGAAGCTTCTTCCAAGAGCTGAAGAAGCTTCTTGGATGAGAAGCGAAACGTGTTCAAGGAAAATAGCAATAGCAGTTAGACTTATATACCGCTTCATAGGGCTTTCAGCCCTCTCTAAGCGGTTTACAGAGTCAG